TTTTTGTTTTTTTGCAAGTTAGCTCGTCATAACTGTTTAGCCCTTTGGTTTAGCTTTGTTCGTTGTAGCAATGTTTTATATTTTTATTATCTTTTTCAGTTGCACCTGAGATCTCTAAGAATCCTGAAGGCCTCACCATAGTGGAAGGACAAAATGTCGTTTTTAGCTGTGTAGTTGAAGGAAACCCGTCACCTAACGTATCATGGACAAAGAATGGACAAGGATTGAACGTCGCAGCAAATTCACGACTGGCTGCCTCTCGCACGAACAATAATCATAATTTGACAATTACAGATGTTCACCGATCAGACGCAGGTCAATACAGATGTGTGGCCATCAACAGTGTCGACACTTCCACTTCATCTGCCGCCAAACTGGAGGTTTACTGTAAGTATCGAAATATGAAAATCATTTAAAGCCCCTTTAACATCAAAAACAGCGCCAGCAAGTTTGGTTGTTTGAAATAACATTACTGTTTTGATTTTTGGCATAACATACACATAATTGTTGCTATTTCTGACGTCATGTGTGATCTCGAACTCTCTGTGTGCGGATATTTGCTTTTGTTACCCTGACAATAATGGCAGATATTTTAAGATTGTTTTCTGCTTGAGCACCACCTTTACATTTCCTAATCGATTCTTTCGTGTTTACAATTTTGGGATTAACGGAGGTCACGAAAATCGACAAGGATTTTTCACGAGGAAAATATGGCGCTATTTACAGTTGTCTATGGTAATATAACGCGACTGCGTTTATTTTGGGGTCGTGACCTCATTGTTCGGAAGTATTTACCCGTGGCTGTCGAGTTACGCTCCAGGGGTAGGGTAGGGATTGACTGCTTTCGATTCCTCTTTGAACCAAACTATGCTTCCAAGATATGGACGAACTTCTTGTCAAAACTAGTAACTCCAGACAACTTCTACTTTGCTGGCTTTCATTCTTGTTGTTGTTGGTATCCTATTCGTCCACTGAAGGAGGTAACAAATATTTAGTATTTGAAAACAAGCGCTTTACGCGTTGATTTTTAAGCGGAAATCAAGCAAGTCGAATCTTTCTGTATCACGGCACGTTTATACTGCCTCGTATTTACGTACATCAAGCTGGTTATATCTTTACTCTGATGTAGTTAGGCATATTTTTTGTCTAAACACATTTTCTGAAAGAAAGTTACCTTGCTAAACGTACATGTAGAACGATAGATTGCTTCAGCCGGTTGTTCAAGGTCGACATTTCGATATTACAAACTTCAGTTTTCACGTAAATGGCTTTGAATCAGAACCGCTACGAAATAGAAACTGATAAATTTTTCTTAATTCAGAATAATCGTGTTGCTTAAGTACTGTCCCTCTGCATCCTTTTGCATGCTTCTATTTACGGTAACTTTCGGAGTGGCAGGTGCATGGTAAATCCTTGGTAATGTGAATCGAAAGTATTCCGAATATTATTAAACTATTTAGCGTTTCTTCTTCAGTGTTTCGCTTCGCTTAGTATGTGACTTGAGAAATAAAACAGCTGTCATTATGTCATTAGTGTTTTAAAACCAATAGATCTAGTCGATATTTTGCTGCTGTTTATGTGTTTGTACATGTAACTAATCAAAATGAAGCATATTTCAACTGATGGAACTCCTAGTACTTCCTTGTAAGAATAAGTTCGGTTTATTTTATTTGTGGTTAACGCAGTATTTTCTCATGGATAGTTTCCCATTATGGTGTCCGCAGTTTCAAAGTGTTTAGTAGCTAATACATGTATTAAAGGGGATAGTCTCCCCTCTGATGTTGTAACCTCAGAATCTTTACAAATTTTGAAGTCCCAATTAAGCAATTACTTACGAGTTTAGTTGGTTAGATATCACTAGTGTTTTTTTAATTATTATTTATTGTTTTTATTATTATTATTACTTTATTTACATATTTTTATGTGTAGTTTTTTATTACATTATATATTTTAACCAGCACTACTTTATAATTCTTATGTTAAAGTTGGCATGATAACTGTTTAAAGTTTCTGCTGACTAATGCACCTATCATTGGTTTGCCCCAGGATGGGGGGCTCAGGCAACCCAGGTGATATTTGACATTTTCAGGTTTTCAGATGTCTATTTTTCCACCCTTGGGTCTCCATTATAAGTCAAATTCACACCCCTGGGGAACAAAGACCTTGTATAGTATGTGCAACAAAATGATAGGCACTCACAACAAGTTTATTGCAGCACTCCTCCAGAGAGTAATATTATTTGTTGGCAAATGGTCCCCTCCAAGTTTGTGCAACACAATACTCCTTACCTTTCATTCAGCCATCCTTGGACACAGGAAACTCGCTCAGATAAATTCTGGGTATTTTCCAAGATGGCACACCCCTCATCACTCATTCCCAGATCCTCTCAACTTTTCAAGATGGTGGTCGAGTGAAATTTCCCACCCTGGGGACCCCAACCCATGTGCGCTTTACTAAGTCTAATTCCCGTGGGTTGGCCAACCCCCCCATCCTGGGGCAAACCATTAGAAGGTGCATGAATAAATGTAGATGTAGATGAAGAAACCAACAGTCAGCTAACAGATGTCCAACTGATTCAGTTGGTTACTGCTTGCAAGGTCCGAAATCTATTTGATGAAAACTCCATTTTAACTAAATCGTGAGCTACATGTTCTTTTATGCCTTTCCACTTGGAATCTGACTCTTGCGATCGTTTGGGGGTAGGAATATTCTCACGCGAAGAAAAGTCTTGCAAAACTTTGCGTTTTTGTGTTTCATAGTGAGGGAAAAATCTTATTGACACTTTTTGGCGACCACATTTTTCCATTTGGCAAGTGACAAAAAAAATTGGTTGGCACCTGCCTAAAAAAGTCAATTTCAGATCCTGGCTTGATTCCATGTAACAGAACATTTAAAATAAGGTGGCATCATTTGATTGCTAATGAGGCGTCATGCAGAACAGCTAAATTAGAACAGGCTCTGTCTGACAGAAGGGGCCTCATGTAACAGTACAAGACTCCTCTCTATCAGTTTTAAATCTTGTCATGGCCATGGGGAGTTTGGGGACGTTGCTGTCTGAATTTTGTCATTTCATATCCAGCGACTGAAGTTACCCTGTCCCTTTAGTTGCACACTCTTAATACTGTAAAAAATAATGAGAAACAATATTA